CCTCGACTCCCTCGTCCACCAATACTATCCTCCCGCTGGTCATCAAATCGAACAGTGCAGCATTGCACTTGGTCACGTCGTCTTTAGTGAGCGCATCTACAGGCATCCTCCCGTGGGGTATCCAGCGGATACGTCCTGATGCCTGTTCCAGAGCCTCACATATGATAGCTAAATCGATCGCCGTGCGGCGGTCTTTCGCACTGGCGTTACCCTCCTTGAGCATAGTATCGTAGATGGATTTTGCGTCTACGATATGAATCTGGCCCTCTCGAGCGCCCAAACGGCACTCACGACGTAGTACTGTGGTAAATGGGCCTGAGCATCTGTGCTGATCTCGAATAGTCACATCTCTGAAAACCACATCACGATACAGTATCTGGAGGTATTCTACCTCAGCAATAGCTGCGGCCAGAGCTTGTGTCTCGCCAGCCAGAGTGGATGGTACTTCACGGCGCAACTTGGAGCTGCGCCATCCTAGAATTGACGCCTTGACGCAACGATTCTCGGCAATGCTCTTGTCACAGGCCAATACCATCCAAGCGCCCTGTGTGGGATCCTCTGGGAGACCCCGTTCGTCGTCTAAACTAGGACCTCCCATGCCCCCCGCATCTGAGAACGAGGCGAAGGACATACGTTCAGGATCGAGCCTCCACACAATGATACCACGGGAAGCGGTGGCCCTGAGATGCTTGACAAGCTTGTTGGCCAGACTGATGTCTCCCGTGGTGGCTGCCTTGAGACGACTAGCGAGAATGCTTGCTGGTCCTGAAGCCTCCGGACGAGCTTCCCGTCCTATCCAGTTAAACTTAAAAACAAGAGAGCGTAGTGCCTTGAACTCGCTGTCCTCCAAAGGAGTGTCCCGGGCAGCAAGCCTACCTTTGGCAAGAGAGATAGGCCGAAGTTCTTCCAGAATGTATTTTTCCATGTCGATAGTGGCCCGGTTCGGGCCTATAGTCACCCGTCTGCCAGCGTAGTCAACTGGCCCTGCGTGACAGTCCCTGTATTTTCCGAAACGGAATCTTGATTCAAGGCGCTCTCGAAACCACTTCCGACTCTCTTCCGTGAGGCTCCCAATGAAGAAGTCATCGACCTCCAGCAGGATCATATTTAGCAGCTCCCCTTTCGACCCATAACGACACCACCAACACGGTTCCAGTAGTGTCCGAGAAAACCCTTGTTGTTCTAGAAATGACACGACAGTTCGTCTCCATGCTACTGGGGCATCGTCGAGGCCGTACACGTTAACCTTGAGGCGCATGATGGAGCCTGCCGGAAGGTGGACGCCATCACACGGTTCAACGAAGATCTCTCCCTGGGACCTCACCATCTTGTCGGATTGGCAAAAAGCATTTTTCACGTCGGCGATATCGGCCCTCATGCCAAGGTTCATGAGAACCTGCACAAACAAGGTGATGCTTGACGTTTGCGGTGTCGGGGAATACACCTGCAGAGATCCGGCGTCGGGATCCTTGTGACCGTGCACGCACCAACGGGACTTTGCTTCGGGTTCTTTGAAAGTACCTTCTACCGGCTTCCACCTGCGGACCATCCTGCTAGAGATGATCCGGTCCGGACATTCCTTCCGCACGACTTCCGCCCCCTTCGGCCCCAGGACCTCCACAGCTCCCGACTCGACCATGGACTTCCACTCCTTATCGTCTGATGCCTGAAACTTGGCCCGTTCGGCCGGAGTGAGGTTTTTAAACGAGACCTCTCCTCCTCTACTGGCAGCGTAGGTTTCTCCAAGCTGCTCCCTGGTCTTGGCCTGAAGACCAGACCCGGCCTCGCCAGCCGGTACCAGAAAGAAATCCTCCTCCTCCTGCTCCTCTCTCCTCTCTGGCTCTCTGGGCGGAGACCTCGAACGTTCTGGTCGGCGTCCCGCTTCCAGAGCCTTGACTATCTCACTCACACTTCGGCGTGGCTCGGTGCCGCCCTGAATCTCCTGAACTCTGGCGGCGGAGGAGGAGGAGGAGGAAGGATCAACGGGACGAGAGGTGGATGGTTCCGAGAGGCCAGGGGGTGGTTCAATCCTCACCCTTTTGTCGGGAGGCTCGCTGGCAGCTCTGCCGCTGCGAGATCTTAAAATGCAAGCGGGAACGTCCTGGGGCTGGGTGAGTCTTCTCGGTCTCGGAGCCTGGGTGACCGGCCCTCGCGCATGTTCCTGAGGCGATTCCAGCCGTGACTCCGGGTGATCTCTCTCAAGATCCTCGATTTCTCGCCCCTCGTCAAGGGGAATGTCGGGAGACTCAGAGGGAGCGAGAGCAGGGGTGTGGGTAGGTTCAGCCTCTTCGCTCCTCACTTCATGCCCAGATGCGCTGCCTCCGTGGGGAGACGATCTGCCTGAGCTTTCCTCGGGCCCTCCGGTGGACGGGACCCTCGTCACCTCTGATCCCGCCTGCGCCTCCATGGATCCATTCTCTGACGGAGCCTCTCTGGGGCTGCGTCGGAGGATCACTCCGGGAGTCGGAGGGGGACCGGAGGTATCGGACGTTCCGTCGGTACGTCGCGTCTCTGGAGCAGGGACTTCCTCTCGAACGGGAGGACACGGTGCCCCGGGGAGCTGAGGGCCCGAATCCAACTCTCTCCGAATGGCATCGTCCCAAGCGTCTTCGGGAGGAGGTCCTTCTCTCTGGACATCGACGGCCGTGGCCCTCCGAGTGTGGGCCTGACGCATCAGTTCTTGCCACTGCGGGGATTGGGCAAGCTGTATACCGTACTCTTCTTCTGGGCTGGCGAGGCGGATCTGTTCCGCCGAGCATTTCCACAGCCGGGCCCGGACGGCCACCCACACGGTTCCGCCCTCGGCCAGGACCACCACCCCAGGACCGCACCAGCCGTCTCGACGTCTTCCGAGACTGTCGGCCCGGGAAGTGGCTCTCGCCATGTGGCGCCAAACGTACACCCACTGGCCAGGTGTGTAGCTCCTGGGGTTGGGATTCCTGGCGCGGGAAGCCTTGCTGATCTTTTCTCTGGCCGTGGCTTCCATAGCGAGCCTTCTGGCCGCCGCTCTGATTTCCTGAGCACGGCAGAACTCAGCGCCAGCTTCGTCCAGCTCTGCTGGATTGCGAGTCAGGCCCTGCCAGCCCGGGAGACCAGAGGCGTCGTCAGAGAGCAACTCGTGTGGGAGTCTGGGATTTTCCCCAAAGACCAACTGCAACGGGGAAAAGCCCCCTCTGTGCCAAAATCTGTTCTTGTGAGCAGTCAGCTCGTACACGAGGGTATCCAGCTCCTCCAACGACACTGGGGCCCCAGGACCCGAGTCAATTTCCTGGCGCGCACGTTCTTTTATCCATCCCCCGTGGCGCTCGACTCTCCCATTTTGCCACGGAGAATCGGCGTCACACACATGGTGCTTGACCCCCCAGTGTTCCAGTCCTCTGGCGAAACGACCCCCGAACTCGGAGCCTCCATCCGAGATGAGAAGGTGGGGAGCCCCGAGGGGTCTAATCCAGGACTGCACTAACCCCGACCACACCGTGGCCGCTCTGGCGTCCGCCACGCGGGTGCAGACCTGAAGGTTCGACCCGTGGTCGACAACATTAAGAAAAGGAACCGCTTGGCCCAGGAACTCCAGATAAAAGAGATCCACACCAACTATGTGGTTGAAACGAAAAGTGCGAGGCAGCGCAACCCGTCGGTGCGTGCCCTGCTTGCTCCTCTCTTCACACTCGGAACACTGGAACTTATGGCGGACCCACCGGATTAAATGAGCTTTGACTCCCCCAGCCCTGAGCACCCGACAAAATTTGCGTGAGTCGGGATGCCCCATGTTCACGTGAATCTTATACAGGAGTCTCTTTTCGTCCTCGTTGGGTTCTTCGTCTGGAATCTCGGCACTCTTGGAGTTTTGCTGGGGCCTGGTCTCGGGTTCGTCGCCATCGCTCGCTTCACTTCCTCCGACTTCCTCTTCCTCAGGGATGGTTCCCAGACCTTCTCCTGCCATTATCGTAGGAAAGCTTTCGTCAACCAGCTGGGCCCACGTAGGCCTGACCTTTTCGTCAGACCCGCTCCAGTGCTCAACAATGGCTCTCGCGGCAGTCCTCACAAATTTACTTGAGTAAACGGCAGCCCTGGAGGTCTGACGGCTTCCCTCAAGAATGGCGTGTCTGTGGCCCCCTGTGCACAGCTTCCCGTCCAACAAAGACAAGATCCTAGGATGGTTTGTCAGCAGACCGGCAGGCTTCTTGTTGAGGCCACGGTCGTCCACTCGTAGCTCGAAAGCGCACATATCTACCCTTAGTCGTCTGACAGAGGGGAGAGAGGACATCAGCTGGACGACCTCAGTGTGCCACGAGCTGGCGTACAGGGGATGTTCAAACACAAAGAACCTGCCTCTCGAGTGTTGATATTTAGCTATTTCCATGCACAACGTGAGATCTCTGAGACCCTCGAGGACTTGCTGGTGCCACCTTTGGGGATCGCGGCGATCTCGATTGATCCTGTTGATCGCGGAAAAGACCTTGCACTCAGAGCTAAGCCATATCGTTTCGGGATCGTTCTTCTTGATTTCCCTCCAGAGGTGCCGAACGTGTTCTTTGATCCCCGAGTCCCATCCCATCAGCCTGTCGAAACTCGCACTCGAACCCAGACGTCCCCCTCTCTTCTCCACCTCGGGGGCTATACGAGGGGGAGAGAAGACCTCCATGAACGAGGTCTTGGCCTTGGTGGCCTGCCTCGCGCTGAAGGCTCCCGAGGACTGGCACCCGTGGGTCTCGAGTTGCCTGTCGAGAGCTCTCCGAACCTTGGGTCCCCAGGCCGACTCGTGATCGTCGTTAAATTGATCACCATCAATCCAACTCTCGAGGAGGCCGTCCTCCGTGGTTTTCGAGCCCCGTCCAGCCGTGGCGTAGGCCCCGTTCGACTCGGCCCGAAAGACTGGGAAACCTACAGGGAAGCTCCCGAGGCCCCCTTGGTGTTCTGGAGGGCCTTCCTCTCTTTCTTTTCTTTCGCAAAAGCCGGCAGTAAAAGAGCCGGCGACGCACATGCGTCGTGACTGGGAATCCCTCGCCCTGTGGCGAGAGTAGCAATGGCAAGGGGACTGATCTACACCAAGTCCCACGTGCCGACCGATGTGGTAGTGGAGGAGGTCGTGTCCTCCTCCTCTGAACCCTCTGGGATCGAACAGATCTCCGTCGCCTGAGCTGGGAACGGCTTGGCAGGAGGCATCTTGGCCGGCGGCTGCGCTAGAGGCGCCGTCCAGGCTGGTGCCGTGGGAGTCCACGGATCTCCACTCTGCCAGCCGCTCCCGCTGCTGGAGCTGGCCATTGCGTGCTGATTCATCGCATGCGCCATTGCGGTGACAGATGATGCTACCTGCACTAAAAGATTCAGCATGTGATCGACTGCCTGGTGCATCGACGTTGTCTCGAGCTGCATCGCGGTCAATTGATCGGCAATCGAGTCGATGGACTCCCCGAAATTCTCGAAGACGCCTAGCATGCGTTGGACGTGGACCACCGACTGGTACACCTGCTTGAGTCCCTCCTCCAGCTGGCTGTTGCTGCCGATCTGATTGGACGCCACCAGCTGCTGCATCTGCTCGACGACCGGCTGGATGTTGGCCAGTAGCTGCAGTCCCTCGGGTAGATTCTGAAGATGGTGGGAGAGAGACGTCATCATCGCCGAGATCCCGTTCACGGCGTTGAGGGTCGCTGCGCCGTCGACGAAACCCTCTTTCTCCTGAAGCATCTGGATGGTCTTCTCCGCCGTGGCAGCGGCCCGACGGGCTGCCTGAGCCGCCGACTCGGGCCGTTCGGCTGGAGCACCGCCCTCCTGCTCCCGAGGCGTCCACTCCAGGCGGTAGCCGCACAGCCCGCACTTGAAACCTCGCCCGTGCTGATTTCCGTATGGCTGCCTCCGGTCTGCGGGATGGTCGCGCTGAGGAGGCGGCTTGTAGGGAACCTTCGATGCCTTCGGCATGGGCTTCTGTATCTGCGGATGCTGTTGAGGCCAGCTCGGCCGTCCGCAACCTCCTGAGCTCGCGGCTGCTGCCCCTGGCGCTGCTGTGGCTGCGCCCGAGCTGCTGCCGCTGCTGGTGCCGACCCAGTGGTTCGAGACCGCGGCTGCTCCCGTCTCCGGCTGATACGCTCCCGTCTCGTTCTCCATCCCGTTGGTTAGCTCCTCGTATTCTTGCTGGACCCGACGAATCTGCTCTCGGAGCTGGCGGGCCCGTTCCTCCTTTGACGGGAGGTCGGGTGGAGCTTTCTTTGGTCCTCCGTGGACCACGCCCGCGGTGCTGAGAAACATCAGCGTCACCAGGACTAGAGGCATTGTCCTGTCTCTGATCTTGACTGGAAAGAGAACCGATACTCTCGGGGTGGTCGATGCCGGAAAGCTTCGAGCCGAGAAAGGCTACGGAGGCAAGAGCCGTGACCCATTGAGGAATACGGCTTCTATGGAGTGACATCCTGTTTCTCGACAGGGTCCGAGTTATGGCCTCAGCCTTGACGAGCTCCCTCCGGATCACCTTAGTGTGACGGAACCCCGCTAAGCCCCGATTTGGTTCTGCTAGGCCCTGCTGAGCCCGGGACTGACCCTGGCACTGCTCTGTCCTCGAGAGGTCCTCGCAACTGCTCTCGAACTCCGTCGAGTATATCCTTAAGTGGCCTGTGAGGCCGAGGACGTTCTCCGTGTCGTCTATCCGTGTGTACTCCTCGCAAGCGTCCCCCTGGAGGTCTTCGGGGCCCTCGTGATCTGTGGTCTGCTGGGCCTCTGGGCCCTTGAGGTGGGCCTTGAAATCGGAGTTCCAGGGGCCCCTTCTATGGGACCGGGTTCTTCTTAACGCGATACTCAGACCAAGGGCACATGAGATGATGAGATAGATGTAGTGCCCCACGACACCCGTGTCTGACATGCGCTGCACCGGGCCGCCAGAATATTCGAACGAATTGGCTGCGAGGAACGGCCACCTCTGAAGCGCTCCGGCTGGTACAGAGGCTCCTGGCCGAAGGGTCCTCACGATGTCGGCCATTCTATGGCCTGATCCTAGCTTCGTGAGCTTTGTCGTCTCTCCGATCCTACTGGACGCGAACGTATTCTCGGGTAGGTCCAGAACACAGCCCAAAAAGTCTAGAAGATTGACGCTGATGATGTGGGGGGACGTCATCGGCTAGCACTGCTGTCTCGATTATTCCGAGAACTCCGAAAAGACAGAGTGGAAAGAGAATGCTGGCTACTACCTTGGCCGGCCCACCAACGCCGTGGGCGGCGACATGTCGTCTGTGCTCGGCCGGAACTTCAACATATCTGAGACCGTGCTCTGCTAGTGCTTGTGACTCTCGATTCAGAGCCTGGACGCCGACGAGATCACTCCCTGCCCCAGGGTCTACCAGCCCTTGGCACGGAAGCGATACCAGGAAGGTGTCATCCTCCTTGATCTCCCGATGAACGGTCCTCCAGATCTCCATCGCCTCCGGACTGAGCGCCTTGTCGGTCGATGCCATGCCGTTGAATGCATATGCCGCCATGCGTCGGTCTGCTCCGGCGTTCTTCGGGCACTCCCGACTCCAGTGGCCTTTTTGGTTGCACGTCCTACAGCGGGTCACCTTCATCTTCTGCTCCAGGGTGAGCGTGGGTCTGCGCCTGAACCGATCTCCTCGACGGCCGTCGCCTCGACCTGCACCCTTGGACGGTGGAGACGGGCGCTCCACCTTGGGTTTGTCGGTAGTTCCTCGTGGTCCGGCTGCTGGGCGTCGTCCTCCGTAGTATTCTCGGTCGCGCTTGGCAGCGCGCTTGAGATCCTTGTTCTCCTTCCAGGAGCGTCCCGTCGGGCGGGCCGCGAAAGCCTCGAGGGCGGCGCCCAGCTGATCCTCGTAGAGGTCGAGATCCTCGAGCTCCTCGAGAAGGACAGATTCGTCCTCGAAGTCGGCGTCAACTTCCTCCTGGTCCGTGGAGCCGTCGCCTGTCTCCTCACCACCTTCGAACCTACCAGCGGGGAACGAGGGAGTGGAGGAGGGAGGCTGAGATGCTGCTGTGGCACGCTCGTCGTCACCGGGCTCTTCGGCCGCGGGACCTGCTAACAGTGTGCCTGCAGAACGGCCTGGAAGAAGCCTCTCAGAACTGGTCGCGTCCATCTGCCTGAGGGCCCAGGACACGCTATCGTAGTCCAGGCGTCCGTGAGTCAGGGTTCTGAGATTTTGCTGACCCTGAGCAGACAATCCGGCGCCTTCCTCTAGAAGCAATCCCTTCAACTTTGGGCTAAACCACATGTCGTGCCCCTCTGCCTCGGTCAG